TAATTACTTTTATTACCAACAGTGGTGACTGTCACACCAACTCAGCTCACACATTTGAAGCCATAATTATTTATATTACCAACAGTGGTGACTATCACACCAATACAAACATTTACTCTTCAAGGGGAGGGGGGGGGGGGGGTTCAAACTTACATGTGTACGACCCTCAGATCACTCATTTTAAGCCATAATTCTATGGTGAACCATGGCTTTCATATGGTACATGTTTTTCACCAGTCTGGAGTAACAGTTCGGTGACAGAATAAAGACCATGCATATGGTAGCTGCAGTGGTATCAGTTCCAGTATATACAAACCATCCTTTAAAAATGAACTCCTAATAAATCTGTGACTGACTTCCTCCATTTTCATAAAAAGACAATTATAGGTCTTTACATTGGAAACTATTCTTAGAGCACTATGTATTGGTATGGAGGGATAGGAAGAGAGGTGTAAGAATATTGGCAGCACATACCTCTACATGTATTAGGGCCAGACAGGTGTCTAGATCTATGTGTTCTATTATGTTTACATAAGAAGTTTCATGAATGTTTCTGTATAAGGTGTAGTGAAATAATCCTCTTCCTTAGCAGCCACAAACCTTATTGCATGTATATGTGAATATATGCATTGGTGTTGTTAACATGCAGTGTGAAAAAGTGATTTAAGGCTTTTTAAGCCTCTGGGTTATATCCCAAAGAATCTGTGAACAGCATTCATGGTGCACATATACATGACATATATATATAATGTGACATGTTGTGAAAAGTTATTTATATAATTATTGTAATTGTACAGATCTGGTGTATGCTTGGAAGATGCCCTGGTGATTGTGAGAAATGAGTTTAATAGTACAGGGTCAGCATTGATACATAAAGTAAACAATATGCACTGTCTGAAGGGTGACTCATGTCTCCTCCCCAGAGAGGCACACATTCATGTGTGTTAGTGCTGTGGTTTGCAAGATGCCAACACTGCAAAACACCAAGACAAAAAGCGATAAGGCTATATCATTTCCAACATTTTAAGTGGCAAACAAACAGGTCTTGTTTCTGAATGGAATAGATATATATATGCTGGTGCACTTTGTATGGGTTTAAGATGATTGACATATCTGTTGTATATAATTTGGTGGATTTTAGGGGTGATCTGGGTACAGTGAATGAGGTTGTACATTACCGTATATGTTATAATTACGGTGATCTGGATACAGTGAATAAGGTTGTACATTACCGTATATGTTATAATTACGGTGATCTGGGTACAGTGAATAAGGTTGTACATTACCGTATATGTTATAATTACGGTGATCTATGTTACAGTTACCTCCCTTGTTTGGTCTAAGCTCATCTGGCATTATACATGTATGTACATTACAATGTCTGTTGACTTTTCATGTCAACGTTGTCTTCAAATAATTTCTCAAAAAGGTGTAGACTATTGATACATACTTGTTGTTTGCTGGTATGAAGGGCTGTTAAATTCAATGTTGGAGTGAAAGCCTTTCACCCATTTTCAAGGTCAAACCGGTTAAATATGTTGTCAACGCTTAATTAACAAGGTCTTCTCAAGATTAGTAACATTTTACAGTCATGATGTATGATCTGTAGTTTACCAGTTTGAAGAGATATCATTATAATGGGCATTCAGATGACTTTACCTAATTTTAGGTAACAGGTGACAAAATGTGTTAAAAAAGATTCTTTAAATCTTAGGGCCTAGAATGCTACTGTAGGACACTGTCAGGTTTGTATGACACAGAGTAATACGATAGATGTATGAGGTCTGTAGTATAACCTTGCTTGTTAATAATCAAGTTTGTTAAAATATAATTGACCTTGACCTACTTTTAAGGTAACATGTGAGAAATTCAATGAAAGCCTATCAATTACCGTAATAATACTTGATAAATCCAATATGAAATCAAAATGATTTTTATGCATGTGATATTTTACAAGAATATTTCATATATAATAACTTTAATTGACAACTGCCTACCACCTCCCTTATGTGGTCAGTCTGTGGTCCGCCTGATAGAAAAAACTATATAATGAACCTGAAATAAGCAGACACCTGTCTAATGCGGCCAGCGGTCCCAAAACTCTGGCCCGAGATGTTATCTCCACCTGTATTCAGTGGTTATTTTGTCCAGAAATTGACATTAAGAAGATCACAATATATAAGCAGGAACACATCTCAATGGAGCAAAGCTAATTACAATGTGTATTTGAAAACCATAGGTAAGGTTTGACACGTTGAATTGACAAGTTGTTTACACAGCGATTTACAGCTTGCAAATTGGGGCAGGTCCTACCATTCATGTGATTTTCGGGTGAGTCTGGTTTTAGCAGCCACCTGTCTAAAGCAACCCTTGGTTGGCCTCTTAATACAGGTTTGACTGTATGTGTAATATATCATAAGAGCAAGCGTGTGTTCAGTAACATATTTTTGACAAGCCTTGGGGGATTTTAATATCAGGTCACTACGTGCAATATATCAAAGTATTTTTTCTGCATAACTTTTAATTTCGGAATTTTTTACTATACAGATATTAAATACAAAAGGAATTGCATAATTCAATACTACCAGGCTAATTCAATGGAACCCAAGTATAGGTCTGTCATTTCTATAGGTACAAGTATGTGCAAGAATTCTAAATAAGAGTTTTACTGCAATGTTTTTCACTTACCGACTCAGGTTGAGGGCAATATGTGGTTTGTTAGACTTTAATGCCTGCAGCGTTGGCAAAAATGTGGCTGATCTTCATCTAAAGATCTATTGTGTGAAAGCTGAATCAACAACTGTTTTGCCATATATGTACATGCCATTAAACAATTTGTCCTAACACTTTGATATTTGTTATTTCATATAGAAGTATTCAATAAAGATCACATCTTGTGAGTCATTTTAGTTGTTAGAAATTTGAGAACCTGTATTTGAAACAAAAAAATAAATATAAAAACAAAAAGTACAGAGTCCTACTACACTTAACCTACATAACAAGCCATTTATCATAATGCACAGCATCAAACTGAGATGCATACCTTGACAGGTAAGAACATGTACTCTGAATTTGATGAACAGCTCAGAAGTGGAACTCTTCTTTGTAGTTATTATCCCCTCGCAATGAAAGTTCGAGGGGATATAGGATTCCGCCTGTACGTACGTACATTTATATATATGTTACACTCTTTGTCATCACTCTAAAAAAATTGTCATCGCTCTGGTGACAATATTTCCTCTTACATATGTCACAATGTGTGAATGCGAGGGGATTTGTATCACTTGTGATGCCTTGTTAGTTGTGCATTGGTACTCTTTAATTTACCATAATGAAATGCAATATTAATTATGGTGTGTGTATGACATCAAAATGACAATTTCGGGGTTTGTGTTTTTACCATCCCAATATCTTAAACTGAGGCAAAGGATTTCAGAAGGACCTCACAGTTTCTGAACTTTTATCTTCACTGTGCAAAAAGATCTGACTTCTAATTTGAAAAGAACCCTTTTCTGGTATAATATTTCAATAGCGAAACAGGACATAATTAAGTGTTGCATAATTCTGAGTATTTTTTGGAGTGATTGATATTTCCAGTACAGGATCTACCTTCTCGGCCTCTTTTGTTATGTCCTGTAATCTTTATCACAATCTTTATCGCTGTATTGGCAGTGGGGCAATAAAGTGAGGTAATATGATTCTAATGAAGGAGACTATATGTTATGCCAGTACAGGTTTTACCTGTGGTTTTCAACACTATTAAAAAATAAAAAACACATTTTTGGGATCTTTTTTCTACAGTAACATGTAATTGTAAAGAGTGAAATAGCCTCTGCTGGTTTATTAGGATAGGCTAGTGGAATAATTGTACACCTTTGTGGGTTGAAATGCCAGACAGAATCATGTGTAACGATGCATACATATTTCAACACATTTATTTCTGAATATCAACATATGATCATCTAATTATCTAAGGGATAAAGCATGTTGTTGAGCAAATGAATAAAGAAATACATGGACATGTGGACAAAAGGCTGTCACTGATTTTTCCCATTTTTTGTATGAAAAGGAAAAATTTACTGTAAATTCATCGGGTATTATTAACACACTTGGACTACCGTCAGAAAATGTACTGTAGATTTTTATGTCTACTCTAACATTTTGATGTCCCACGACTCTTACAAAATGGCTGCCATTGTTTGAAGGCCCTGTCAATACATTTTTGCTTGTAGATCAGTTATGGATGAAGTACTGAAGCTATGTAAATTCACATCCTTACGTGTCTTGATTCATGAGTACTCATTCAAAGCATTTTTCTTGACCTTCACTTTTGATCTTAGACTAAGTACAGAGGCTATATACATATGCTTAATAGCTAGGGTTGTGCATCTTCATGTTATACTGCTCCTGTGTGTCGTGCAACTTTATGTTATACTGCTACTGTGTGTCGTGCAACTTTATGTTATACTTCTCCTGTGTGTCGTGCAACTTTATGTTATATTGCTCCTGTGTGTCGTGCAACTTTATGTTATCCTGCTCCTGTGTGTCGTGCAACTTTATGTTATACTTCTCCTGTGTGTCGTGCAACTTTATGTTATCCTGCTCCTGTGTGTCGTGCAACTTTATGTTATCCTGCTCCTGTGTGTCGTGCAACTTTATGTTATATTGCTCCTGTGTGTCGTGCAACTTTATGTTATCCTGCTCCTGTGTGTCGTGCAACTTTATGTTATACTGCTCCTGTGTGTCGTGCAACTTTATGTTATAATGTTCCTGTATGAGTACAGCATGCTGCAGGACTTTTGTAAACTTGACCTTTGACCTTCACCAGTGTGACCTTGCTTTACCAGAGTATTTGACTTTTCATGAGACTTCGGACAGACTGAGTACTGTGAGGTTATATGAGGTTTTATAGTTTTTGTCTAACAGTTATATAGTCATATCTGCAGTGAAAAGGACAAAATTGTACTGCATTTAAATTTCTTGCTGTTTTTTGTTTTCAGCCAAAGGAATTAACAAGGGCAGAAAGGCTACAATACATGAACCCAGACCCAAACAACGACACATTAGTCCTGCCACCTAAACAGTTTATGGATCGCATGATCAGACAGGATGTCATGACCCTTTATCACAGGTTTGTAACCCTGAATCACAGCTAATCTTATGACCTTTGTCATGGGGAAAAGGCTTTATATAAATTGTACAACGTGTGCCCAATCCCTTTTGTATATTCAATGCAAATAAAAATATATTTCAATCAAACCTTTGTCACAGGTTCATGACCCTGCATCTCAGCTTATCTTATGACCTTTGTCACTCAATCGTTTATGAACCTGAGTATTGGCTGATCTAATGACCTTTGTCACATGTTTGTGACTTTGAGTCTCGGCTGTTTTATTGACCTTTGTCACACGTTTGTGACCCTGAGTCTTGGCTGATCTAATGACCTTTGTCACACCGTTGTCACCCTGAGTCTTGGCTGATCTAATCCGACCTTTGTCACACCATTGTCACGCTGAGTCTTGGCTGATCTAATGACCTTTGTGACCCTGAGACTTGGCTGATCTTATGACCTTTGTCACACCTTTGTGAACCTGAGTATTGGCTGATCTAATGACCTTTGTCACATGTTTGTGACTATGAGTCTCGGCTGTTTTATTGACCTTTGTCACAAGTTTGTGACCCTGCATCTCAGCTTATCTTATGAACTTTGTCACTCATTTGTGACCCTGAGTATTGGCTGATCTAATGACCTTTGTCACATGTTTGTGACTTTGAGTCTCGGCTGTTTTATTGACCTTTGTCACACGTTTGTGACCCTGAGTCTCGGCTGACCTAATGACCTTTGTCACACGTTTGTGATCCTTGTCTAAGCAGACATCTTCCACATGATTTCAAAACAAACAGAAATAATTATAAATCTTATGGCTTTCATATGTACACAGTAAAACAATTGTTTATATCACATCCAAGGTTAAAACAAAACAAATTGTTGTAGAATTTGAGATTCATCAGCGACAATAGCTTGCCAGGGAACATCAGAAAGAGTTTGTAGTATACAAAACCATAGCACCATCCATTGTGATACAATAAAAGCAAGTTGACTGCTGCACCCCAGGGTCAAGTTATTCCTTGTTAATTCATTTCTTCATCAAAACAGGAAGTTGGCCATTTAAAATCACTTATTCCACACATATAAATTGGCCTCTTTCCGTCTGTGTTATATAAGGCCTGTATATAGAACATAGCTATAGTTCTGACAGTATATTTGTCTATAGCTATTTACACATATGAATACTTGACTATTTGAGTTTTAAGGTCAAGGGTACCAACATGTTACACTGTAATATAACCATTATCACTGTTGTGAAAAATTTGTTTAAGCCTTTTCAATTAAAGTATTCAATGAAAATCACATGCTGCTGTGCATTTTACAGAATTATACTTGTTCAAAGTTGTAATGTTTAGAAATAAAATTAAGGAAAATGCAAAAACTACAGGGGTGGAACTTGGAACCTTTACATTACAAAGCCTATGCTTTATCAATGACCCACAAAGCCTTTAATTTGACAGGGGAGGTTACTCTAAGCCAGAAAAACTAATTTTGGGTTGCTTCATCTTTGATATAGAAGGGAGAATACTCCCAAGTCAAGAAAACTCTAAAGTAAAACTCTTCATTGTGATTATAACTGATGCATACACGAATCATTGTGATTATAACTGATTCATACACGAATCATTGTGATCATAACTGATGCATACACGAATCATTGTGATCATGACTGATGCATACACGAATCATTGTGATCATGACTGATGCATACACGAATCATTGTGATCATAACTGATGCATACACAAATCATTGTGATCATAACTGATGCCTACACGAATCATTGTGATCATAACTGATGCCTACACGAATCATTGTGATCATAACTGATGCATTCATGATTTGTATCGCCCTGCCCAACACAAAAAAATCTATCATAGTTGATATTCAATCGCAACAAGCTCAGGATAGGTTGGTTTCTTTATTGTATGTCTACCGGTTTCGCCCGAACATGTGGTCATACGGCAGAATGGAAAGTTATAAAAGACACCTAAACCAGCAGCATCCAGGTTACACCGTGGAACCTGAAATTATGAAAGACGCCATCAAACACATGTTCGGGCGAAACCGGTAGACATACAATAAAGAAACCAACCTATCCTGAGCTTGTTGCGATTGAATATTGCCTTTAGTTTCCCGTTCCTCAATCGCCCTGCATACCCCTGGGTATCCAAGCAAGGGATAACGGAACCTACAGAACCTAGATCAGAAGTACGGCGTTGGCTCTACACCCGATGATTCATCATAGTTGATGATAATTTATTATAATCATGACTTAAAATGCTCATACATAAGCATCTTTCACTAGATCAATTTAGAATAAATATAAGAAATTACAAACTGCAAAGTAAAATTGGAAATAACAAAGGAGATAATTCTGTGATGTGAAATTGCCAAAGGCTAGTTGACACTAATAATCTGCTAGCTAGAAATAAAATTCTGTTAGCCTGCAGACAATTACAAAATGGATCAAGCTGACACGATCACATGACCTTTATTACATTCACAAAAGGATATGTTTTCAATTAAAAGAATACAACTTTATTTTATAATATTATTATGACCACTTAAGCTGATTGCTTTTTAAAAAATAAAAATGAATTTTGTACAAAACAAAAAGCAAACCAAACGTTTTTTTGATTGCGGCTGAAAATCACTCTGGATACAAAAAAAATAACCCACCAAAACAAGCATGGTGGACAGCAAATTGATTACCGACAGCTTTGGAGAGATGAACTTCATTTCTTTACTCCACATCATCAGCTTAGAATGTCAAATAAAAGAAAATGATTTGCAACAAAGACAACTATTTTGGTGGTTAGTATTGACTTTCAATATTATTTATCTTATGTTGTATAAAGTGGTTACTAGCACTTTTAACACACACATGAAAACCCCCAGAAAGTCTTGCATCGTCAATGCGTGTGAATAGTTCCATGTATTCTGATAGATATTGTAGTGAAATTTACCAGGAATTCACAGGTTTAAAACATTAATTGTTTATAGCCTCGTGATGATAGAATTAAACAAAAACATCAGTGTCGGTTATAACATCATAAACAAATCACTAGCCTCGGCTAGTATGCCTTTTAATTACACTAGCCCAAGCTGAGAATCTGGTAGCCCAGGGCATCAGGCTAGTGAAATTAGTGAATTTTTAAAAATTAAGTATTTTTCGCTCAAATCCACAAAGATGAACAAAAACCCAGTTCAACCTGAAGGTGATATGTATACATTCTACATTAAATGTCATGTTCTTTCCATTAATATTGAAATGTTTTTGGCCCTTCATCTAATCACCTAACAATCTGAACCCCAAGATTATAAAACCTTGTTACCTTTTACTTTAGACATTTTGTATATTTATCTTCTTGTAAGGCATTAACCAAATTAGCACAAGTATTCCTGTTGTTTTGTAGTTTCAGGTCATGTTCTCGGATGACAGCCATTACTTTTTAATGAATATTTTTAACTGTGGTAGGAACAATCAACAGAAATGATGTCCATTTCCTGTTTGGTCATAAGCAAATTATGTAATACGGTGATCTTTTCAAATGAGACATCTCTTCTGGGCGTTTTGAATTGCTAGTTATATTTAATCTCGACACAGCTTTAGGCTTGTACTTGCATCGTGCAGTACTGCACTGTATTAAAGTCACCACAACCTTCATGCATGGTCATGATCAAAGGCTAAATAGGTACAAAATTTGTTGTGCAATTTTTGTCCAGGCTGTATAGTTAGTAAACTGTTGAAGATATCTTGATGAAACTTGATGCATATCTGGATCACCCACAGAAGGTATGCTGTGCACTGTATTTTGTCAATGTGACCTTAACCTCTAGTCCAAGGTTAAATAGTATAACATTTGCAGTAAAATGTTGTAGAGGTTCTAAATTTTCAAACACTTAAAGAATATTATCTTGATAAACTTTGAGTCATACCAGTGTATTACCAACAGAATATGTGCAGTGCACCTGCTTTTTACATATTTATAGATAACGTCTTGGTCATATAAGCGCAATTTTTTTCCAGTAAAATCATGTCCTTGCTTGTAATTCAAAACTGTTAAAGATGAATGTGCCTTGATAAAACTTGAAGTGTCTGTACTATCAACCGTACACCATGTTTATAATTACATGTATTTCACAATTTATAAACATCTTTATACACCTGTTATACAGTTATAAACATCTTTATACAATTGTTATAGTTATAAACAACTTTATACAATTATTATACAGTTATAAACAACTTTATACAATTATTATACTGTGATCAAAATGCATAGATCAACATTTTTAGACAGATGTCTCTATCCCACTTCAGGCAAATACTAAACTATTCCATGGATTTTTTTTTATGCCCAGTGATCTCCCCTTAATTATATTTTGGTGTGACTGGGACAGACACTACCATTGACCAGGAAAAATCTCAGTTGAGTGTTAAGATTGTTTATTTGATCATTATTATTGTTTCATAAAAGTCCTATAAGGTATGGTGGTCTCTTCAGAAATTATTTATCAAAGCTTAAGTTATGTCGAAAGTTTACTAAACATACTCAGTAGCTGCAGTTTTTAGTATTGGTGCAATGATCCTTAATATACGTTATCAAGTTTGTTGGGATCCTTTTTAACGACTTGTGGTTTGTGACTACGTAGTTTAGAAGTCATACAGTAAGGGGCCCAAAAAGGGAAAATTTATATTATTCTGCAATTTTTGTGGTTGTTGTTAACAACATGGTGCCAAGACCAGCTGATTGCTGGGATACGAAAAACAGTCGAATTTAACTGTAGGAGTTTATAAAAGAGTTTGAACAGCACATTATAATGCAGTAAACAACATTGTATCTTTATGGTAGAATGATAAATAACATTGAATCTTTATGGTAGAATGATAAACAACATTGTATCTTTATGGTAGAATGATGAACAGCATTGTATCTTGTAGAATGATGAACAAGATTGTATCTTTATGGTAGAATGATGAACGACATTGTATCTTTATGGTAGAATGATGAACAGCATTGTATCTTTATGGCAGAATGAAGAACAAGATTGTATCTTGTAGAATGATGAACAAGATTGTATCTTTATGGTAGAATGATGAACAAGATTGTATCTTTATGGTAGAATGATGAACAAGATTGTATCTTGTAGAATGATGAACAACATTGTATCTTTATGGTAGAATGATGAACAAGATTGTATCTTTATGGTAGAATGATGAACAACATTGTATCTTTATGGTAGAATGATGAACAGCATTGTATCTTTATGGTAGAATGAAGAACAAGATTGTATCTTTATGGTGGAATGATGAACAAGATTGTATCTTTATGGGGTGTAGAATGATGAACAACATTGTATCTTTATGGTGGAATGATGAACAACATTGTATCTTTATGGTGGAATGATGAACAATATTGTATCTTTATGGGGTGTAGAATGATGAACAACATTGTATCTTGTAGAATGATGAACAACATTGTATCTTTATGGTAGAATGATGAACGACATTTTATCTTTATGAAAGAATGATGAACAACATTGTATCTCTATGGTAGAATGATGAACAACATTGTATCTTTATGGTAGAATGATGGACTACATTGTATCTTTATGGAAGAATGATGGACTACATTGTATCTTTATGGTAGAATGATGAACAACATTGTATCTTTATGGTAGAATGATGAACTACATTGTATCTTTATGAAAGAATGATGAACAACATTGTATCTTTATGGTAGAATGATGAACAACATTGTATCTTTATGGTAGAATGATGAACAAGATTCTTTATGGAAGAATGATGAACAACATTCTTTATGGAAGAATGATGAACAACTTTGTATCTTTATGGTAGAATGATGAACAACATTCTTTATGGAAGAATGATGAACAACATTGTATCTTTATGGCAGAATGATGAAAGACATTGTATCTTTATGGTAGAATGATGAACAACATTGTATCTTTATGGTAAAATGATGAACAACATTGTATCTTTATGGTAGAATGTTGAACAACATTGTATCTTTATGGAAGAATGATGAACAACATTGTATCTTTATGGTAGAATGATGAACAACATTGTACCTTTATGGTAGAATGATGAACGACATTGTATCTTTATGGTGGAATGTTGAACAACATTGTATCTTTATGGTAGAATGAAGAACAACATTGTATCTTTTTGGTAGAATGATGAACAAGATTGTATATTTATGGTAGAATGATAAACAATATTGTACCTTTATGGTAGAATGATGAACGACATTGTATCTTTATGGTAGAATGAAGAACACCATTGTATCTTTATGGTAGAATGAAGAACACCATTGTATCTTTATGGTAGAATGAAGAACACCATTGTATCTTTATGGTAGAATGAAGAACACCATTGTATCTTTATGGTAGAATGATGAACGACATTGTATCTTTATGGTAGAATGAAGAACAACATTGAATCTTTATGGTAGAATGAAGAACAACATTGTATCTTTATGGTAGAATGATAAACAAGATTGTACCTTTATGGTAGAATGATGAACGATATTGTATCTTTATGGTAGAATGAAGAACAACATTGTATCTTTATGGTAGAATGATGAACAACATTGTATCTTTATGGTAGAATGAAGAACAATATTGTATCTTTATGGTAGAATGATGAACAAGATTGTATCTTTATGGTAAAATGATGAACAACATTGTATATTTATGGCAGAATGATGATTTATGATTGAGGATTGAACTAGTAAAATTAACGTCTTACTTCTATTATTCTTTTCAGATACATCAACAGTCTTCAGTTTTTCTGTCACCGCGTCCTCCACTTGGGCAAACTTGATGATGGAGGCTGGGACATTTGTGATGACAAAGAGTTTAGACCTAACCAACATTGTCTTGTCTATTCCTATGGGTAAGTGTTTACCTACTTGACAACTGTATATTATGGTCGCTCATGACCCTCAGGATTAAGTTTCATTTCTATCTTATGGCTATATGGATATCCTGGTAAGGGTCCATGCATTTGTCCCATTCCCAAAAATATTTTCCAAAATTAAAAAACAAATTACTATCTCAACTTGTACAAAATGACAAATGAATGTTGTCATTTATGAAATAAATGCATGAAATAATCTGTCATAAATATTTTTTGTATAGTATCTTGAAGATGCAAACACTCTGTGTGTGTTATGCCAGGGTTCTCCCCAGGCCATTTAGTTGATACGGCTCCGTATCAGCTTCATTTTGAAATCCTCCCTGCCGTATCAGCTTAATTGACCCGTATCACCTTAAACTGTGAACCGTATCACCTTGTTATTTGTACTGAAGGTGGTCTTTTTACACAAGAAATTGACACTGATTAAATCACACGGCTGACCCAAGTCCAGCAATGACCCCACTGGTCAGTTGCACGATAGGCGTATTGCCACAGGGGGCCTGTAATTAGTGGGGAGGGGGACCGGACGACAAGCCCACAGGTGTCCGGCAATAAGCGTGCTCACTGGAGCCTAAAGCAATTATCACCGGATCCTTTTAGCATGGTCAATAGGTGATTAATTGAGGTACCTACTGTTGGATTAACAAAACAAACACTTATTACATCTATTATAAATTAATTTACTCCCATATGATTGCATTTGACAACGCTGAAATAGCGTGTGTATTCAGTTAGTGATGGTCGCCATCTTGGATTGTGTAAAGTACAAACCGGAAAGGGGAATGAAAATCCGGATTTGTCGTTTTTAATGAAGAAGAGCTCAAATAAAAATGCTGTTTTAATCTTTGATCACATTAACTGACAGCAGCATTTAATACAGTTTTGGAGGAAATAAAAACACTGTACATTTTATTAAACCATTTTCTCTTACAATAATAAGAACTATGATATAAACTTTTTCATGTAAGTGTTTCCCCCTAAAGCACAAACAGCTTTTAAATATGTCTTCTTTAAATTATTTTTAATGGGGATTAAGTAAGGGATACAAATGTTAAGATAAGAGACAAATGTCACAAATGTCATATCTATTATTCAATGTACAAAACTCATACACCTTTCTATCAATTGTATTTTTTTTAGAATATTTTAAAACAATAATATTGCTGAAAATTCAGACATAAGAAACACTTATTTATTTCCTTGGTTTTAATGTTCACCAAAAGAAGTTTGGTAATTAAAAGTAACTTTTTAAACATAATAATACCCCCCACCCCCTTAGGTTTGATAAGGTATTATATTAGCGTGTCCGTCTTGAATGTTCGTTGCAAATGAAACATATCAGCTTAAAAAAATTCTGGGGAGAACCCTGTATGCTTATCATTCAAGGTACAAGGTGGTAAACTGCTGGTGGATGTTTTAGTCCCTGAGGTTTGCTGTAAACTTGACAGCAGAGTCTTCTGAGTAGTGGCACGGTACACACATTACAGACTCCTTTATTTGAAATAAGCCAGTACTCCTCAAAATCTTTTAATTCATAAATTAAATTTGTGCAACTGCCACTTTGTTTCAACAGGAGTTTAGACCATTTGGATTATTTCCAACTTTTTGGCCTCTAGCATCACTGATAATTCCTAGAAGGATCAATGAAACAGCTCTATGATGCAGTGTAGTTAATTTGTGTTCATGTTAAGTTCATCTATAAAAGAAGACCAATAGTATCCCATATTGTGCATAGTGTCAAAAACTTTCCCAATTTTTGCACAGGGAGCTTTTTGTCTACAGTAACTTGAAAATCTCTGAAAAACTGTAATTCAAGTACACTTGAGTGCCTTGTTAGAATTATTATAAATGTTAAATTCATTGTAGGAGATAACTTCATGTGTACATTACCTTAAATGAATAAATCCAGAGAATAATTAGTAAGTAAGGAATTTTCCAAATTATGTTCATAAAAAACATCATGTAAAATGTATTTTACAAATACAGTATAAACTTAAACTTCATAAAGGGAACTCTGATCTGTGTATACTTAACACATCTCTACAATCGCAGATGAAATATAACTTGTATGAAGAAGCAAATTGCATTATTTCCTTAATATTTGCAGCCTTTCTCAATAGACTTTCATGTGCTTTATTTTAGTCAGGCATCTTCATGCCAACCCATCAAGTCACTTTTTAGCACATAGCTTAGATAAGAGAATCGGATGTTGCTCCTTTATTAGACAAGTAATTATAACACAGGATATGCCATGGAATATATGTGAGAAATGTTGTCATTTTCCTCAAAAAGGCTGCTCCTAATGATATTTTGAAAAATGGCCTCCTTTTTTTTAATTATCTCGGTATTGTGCTCAAAAACTGATGTTTTCATCTGAAGGCTGACCGTCCCCAAATCCCGATTGAAAAAATGAAATGTTTAAGTGTACTTGGTATATGTTAAAACAGTTATAATAAGGGGTTGATAGTCTAACAGGTGTATTACTTTCCTTCTTTTAGAATCAACTTTGACTTCAGCTTTGATGACGCTATTGTGAAACAATATGGTTGTGAAGTGCACGCCTATGATCCTAGGTAAGTTGAAATTGTACAGTTGTGCTTACATGCCTATGATCCTAGGTAAGTTGAAATTGTACAGTTGTGCTGACATGCCTATGATCCTAGGTAAGTTGATATTGTACAGTTGTGCTCATGACATGCCTATGAGTTGAAACAATATAGCTGTGCAGTACACACCTATAGACTTTTATCTGAACAAGACTTAAATTGATGATGCTTTAAGTTTGCCATAATTTTTATGTAAATATTTTTACAACTTACCTTATAGTATGAACATGATGGACCATATCCACGGCAATCAAGTGTTCTTTCACAACGTCGGTCTGACCAGCGATAATAACTCAATGACAGTTAAAGGTATCCCATGGAAAATGGGAACGTTTGGAGCTCACCGAACAACCAATGGCCATCTGGAGGTGAGATAGTGTTGCCACAAGCATCAAATGTAATCTAGTCCATTGTCTAGTACATTTTAGCATAGTTATCCTGCTGTTAGTCCAAGGCCCAACCCATAAACCGTAACTCCAGGTTCAGAGGAAAGAATAGGCCTACTGTATATCCCTGCATGTTATCATAAGAGGCAACAAATCGGCAGAATCCATAATTTTCTTCTGAGTTTTCTGCTGAAGGGACATTGAAGAACTAAACATTGATCTACTGCCCCCAGTAAGAACACTTTGGATCAACATCTTTTCTATCTCACTTACCTTCTCTTTCGTTTTGTTTGTGTTCCCTTGGGTCAGTTAACCCCATTAAAAACATCTAAGTTAAATAAGATATGGGCTTATTACAGGATAATGAAATAGTATTATATGACATTTCAACTGAATTGTAATAAATATAAGTGGGTTTATTGTCTGGCATTGGCTTATTGTCGGATAAATACAGCATATTTCATGTTAAGTCAGTCTTTGCGTTTGCCCAAATTCCATATGCATTTGAAAGGACTGAGTGGTGGAATGAATTATAATGTCCCAAAATGCTCATTCAAAACTTTTAGTGACAAACATTGATTCTTCAATTTGCCAAAGCAATATACAGAATATTGTAACTAGCCTTATTTCATGTGAGGTAGCAAATTGATAATGAATATGTTAATAAAATACAGGTGAGGGGTGTGGGCCGAATAGACCTCATTTTTCAATGTAATTTCTGTACTTCTTTGCATAATTGTGTCAAATTTATTGACATATAAAAACGGTACAATATTTTGGAAAGAACTCGCAGAACGCACAGCCAAGGTTCATAAGACACAACATGATTTATATACACAGTCGTTGGCACATGTGGGCACAACTAGGTTTATATATGCCTAAACTCTGTTTATTTGGCCTAGTATCACTCTGTACAGTAGCAAAGTGAATGTTCCTTAAGGTGTGGAAGAATACTTAAGTTATGTTTGATGATCAGAATTAATTATTTATGAATTGAGGTATAGGTTTTAAATTTTGTCAATTAAATCCTTATTTGTGATTTTTTCAGAGGGCAATTGACATCTTAAAAGTGGACATCGAGGATTGGGAGTGGATCGCATTGCCGGAAATGTTGCGCTCGGGAACACTCCGGGATGTCCAGCAGTTTGTCATAGAGTTTCACCTGACCAGGGTCAAAGCTGAACCTAGTATTGCCCAGTATCTTAAGTGCTTGAAAATACTCAAGGATATATATGACGAAGGATTTAGAATATTCTGGACACATCGTAATTTATGGTGCAAATTTTACTCATCGTATGGGAGGGATGAACGGTGTGGTTGTCACGAGGTTTCCTTTGTGCGAGTGTCGTAGCCTGATCTTAGTAACTAATTACGAGTATGTGTACAATGTTGAGTATGTTTTGTGTATACTGTTTGTTACATACAGTATAATCCATGCGATATTCATTTTTGCTTAAATTGGCGTTAAGCATTGATTGTGAATTCAAGTATCGCGTGAAAAATGATTTTTATGCAACTGAAGACACATAATAAAAGTATAATGAAAATAAACGCCCTCATTATTATCTACAAGAAATCAATAAATAAAATCAAGGGTGTACAAAACATAAGTACAGACTTGGCATCAGTTATGTCCTGTCTTTGCAAATAATTTATTTTTTGCAAATTGATAATTTTTTATCTTCAAATGACGTATAGACTCTTTCAGTTTAAATTGCGACTGCAATATTGGTTTTGCAGATCTCAAGTACCCATGTCAACCAACATCTCTGCCATTACAATATAATCAACATTTCCTATAGTGACAGCAACATTTTCATGTTTGCCAACCAACATTATAGTCCTGCAGTAATTGTGAAAGAGTCTATTTCAGAGGACTTCAATTTGCTATGCTTTTAATGAAACAAAATATTTGGCTTTAAAAATGTTGATTTTTAATGTGCCTGATTAAATATTCATGAAATAATTTAATTCAGTTCTTGCAAATTTTTCATGAAAAATAAATATCTCACGAGGGAGATGTGATACACAGTAATGTTGAGATGAGAAGTTTCAAGGATTGTTTTTCTTCCAGATGAACGCGAGATTAGTTACTGTCGTGTCAAATTGAGTGAAATAGCATAATGTATAAAGGTTGATATTTTTTTGAGCATAATATACTGATTAATTACTGTAAGACAAAATATTTTTATACATTTCATGATTCACTTAAAATTTGTATCATCCTTTTAAATGTATAAAGTTGATAATATAATGAGAAAGATCACAATTTTTATAATCAAAAACAACATCGTTTTAAGTTATGTTTTTTTTTAAGTGGAGATTTTTATTTTCATGTGTGAAATAGAGCATCAATTTAATTCAATTTTAAATTTAGTTTTGTGTATGTATGTTTTACATATAAAACAAATCAATTGCCTAAATGCCAAATGACACTCACATACCGATACTGGAGGGTGGCACCATTGTAGCATGATCTATACTTAATGTATATGCCTAAAACAAAAGTCACTAACAGATTATGTTGTTACCAATTATTTGTCATTTTTCAGTATGTATCTTTTTAATGTTTGTTTTACATGTATTTACTTCGACATTTTATCTGTAGATTAAATTTTGCCCTTTTGCTGGTTGAATGATGCCATTTCATATCGTAGTGAGATCAGAATTATACCTGACAGTGACAGGTACAGGTACATTTTTGTTAAGGTTGGATGTTTGGAAGTACTGTGTTTATATGGCTGAAGCTGGTATATTGTACCAGACTCTTTACCTGGCCATGGTTTCACTTTAATGTCCTGAGTTGAACTAAGTTTTACCCTAACTTACTTTTAAAGTTGAGATAAAATACAAGGAAAAAAACAGTTTAAGTTAGAGGGTCCCAGCACTTTTCTGTTGTGTACAAACCCAGAAGAACTTTTTCCTTCTAAATCTATGTTTATTTTCTCTATATTGATACAAAAACAATTATCAGTTGCAAGTCTTCTTAGGAAGTTAAAACATTTTGATTATTTACAGGTATATTGTAGAAAAAGTAGTAACAAATATCATGATTGGTAGCACAGTGGATATGCTCCTTACTCTAGATCTTCAGGGACCAAATTCCCAAAATTGAAGTGTTTTTGTAAAGTAGAAAATCATAATGGAGATACATTTTATCTATATATATATATACAACTTTCACTATAGTAACCGCATTTCTAAGGCAGAAAAAAATATCAACACACATTTGAACCCATCTTTGCTGGAGGTATACTTAAACCCTCAGTGCTGGGGCTCTCTACCTTAACCCTTTCACCCCTATGCAACTTTAGTAGACTCTACCATGCATTGATCTGGATGAGTCCATAATGGTCTACAGTGGTGAAAGGGTTAAGGTGTTTCCTTAAACCAAAGCCATTGTGAAATGTGTAGAAAAAGTCAGCGTAATCTTATGGATACAGATTCTTTTATGTAGAATTCTCCGTATATTTGATAGTTGTGTGTGTTCTGTTTCGAATGTAAACATTAATTGACCTATAAAACAAGAAGTAAATTTCTCAAAGCCTTCAATACGGTTCCTTGGTAAGGTAATAATTGCTTTTGGGACTTTTTAAGTTTAAAGCAAAATGGAGACAAGATTTGGTATACCAGGTCATTGTATTGTAGATATACGTGAGTTGTTGTTACTGGTTTAGAGCTTGTGTGTTTGAGAGTTCAGGAACATTGTACCATTTGAGGCTTCACTTCCTGTCAGGTGGTTTAGAAGGCACTTGACATATATATTGTATACTTTGGTATGTACCAGATGATAACGCTACAAGCCCCAGTGTAATATTTGGTCCCTGATGTATAGACAGTATTTTCCATTTGTACTTCCTATGCTGAAGGATGATTGGATTTAATAACCATCAAAATGAAAGAAACTCAAAATCCTTCCTCCCCTTGTAATTCGTGTTTATCTAATACAATTCCCACCTTCAAATTCAGTTAATTTCTAAATGTATTGATCAATTTTATTAACTCATTCACCCCTGAAATTTCATAATGAACCATTCCAACCTTTCAATTGGAAGGGTGTAAATGTGTCTTCAGAGGTGAATGAGTTAATATATTTAATATTGGCCCCAATTCAGAATTTGTTTTCTTTTCTATGTTAATAGCACCAAAAAGTTTGATGCTTCTTCCGACTGGTGTACTTTGCAAAGCTTAGTCTCCCGGCATTCATCATCATTTGGACTGTTGTAGTGACATCATTTACTGGTTAATGTAATGATAAATTATTCTAGTCATACCTAAATGCCATATGAAATCAGACATACACCGCACTGTCGTTAGAATGTAGAAAGGGCTCACTATACATGCAGTGCATCATTGAATACTACGCTGGATTATTTAAAATTGAACACATGTTCCTTTATTGCAATAGTTAGCCTAATTAGCTGTAGTACACCTGGATTTAACATTTTAAATTTCAGTATTAAACAGGTATCATATAGTATTTACTGATATGTTTAAGTTTTAGACATGAATCTCATTACAGTGTGCATGTATTATAATGGATGTAGAGTGCATAATATTTTTGAAAAGGGTAAAATTGAGAGACACATGTCACAATGTATTGTGACTGCATGAGATTATGTTGACTTTTATGCTCTTAAGAATTTCTTTTTAACAAAAGGATTTAAATTTTTTATTTTATACAAAATGCACACTTATATGTCAAATGTATCTGGTTATCATTATTTTACTGCAATATTTTGCGCATTTTGTTGTCTTCCACATGATTTAATTAAATATAAACAGCCGATCAAGTGGTCTGAAGTTGATTGATATTAATGCTTTAGCTTGACAAAGAAATTCAAGCCCAGCTGTGACATTTGCAGCTACTGATTTTTATCCAAAAAATATCGTATTAATAACCCAGTCGTTTCGCGTAAATGAAAAGAACTCTGTTTTTTGTAAACATCAGGCTGAATGTTCACGTTTGCTATAGTATTGATAGACTTCTGATTGTGATACTGTTTTTAAGTTTTCTTGGAATAATTTCAAGCCAAAAGACACTATGTTGCCTGAAGACATTTTTTTTTGATAGCCTCCCTTTATTTACATTACTGTGTGTAAACTTTGCTTTCATTAGAATATCTTTTGGGTTTAGTGTATGGAAGATATTAATCCTGTACAAAAGCATTGGTAAAACTGTTGTTTATGATTTTGACAATATGTTAACATTTCCGTAGCTTTTCAATAACATTAAGTATTAAAGGAATTTGGCTATGTTACAAACTGTTTATTTTAGGGAGATCCTTTTTTTTTTTTTATTCTCACCAAACTGTGGCATTTTCCCAATGTTTTGATTGCCCTTTGAAAGTGATTTTTATCTTGATTAACATAAACGTTTTCTATTTTTGTCCGTTTGGTATTTTTTGAATGATAAACCGAGTTTAAAAGGTGGTCACACTGGTGAAGAATATTGTTTATAGTAATATACTGTAATGTCAAGTATCTGAAGGGTGTGTCAAACATTATCATTATTTTATCAGTCATTTGTATTAACATACATTATCTTATTGAATTATAATATACATTATTTTGTTTATATACCCAAGTATTCATTCAAGCAAGTGTACAAATTAATTTTTTATTAATAACCAAAGAGATAAATTCTTCTTGTAACTTCTTTAAATCGAAATAAGATGAAATGTATGACGCTTTAACCATAATATGAAGACTATTTATTTTGGTTCATAGTCTACTGCAATAAATGTGTTGTTCTGACACAGCTGATGGAACTTCCTTGTACAGGATCTAGTAAAAGGGACATAACTCTTGATGCATTGTAGTTCATGCATCATATATATAATGTAGCTGCATTTTAATGTTTTCTGTTGAGCGGACTGCAAGGAGTGTGAAGTTGAATACATCTCTGTAATTGATTGAAATTTATGGAAGAACCAAACAGAACATTTTTGTTGCAGTGAATAATCCTTAGAATTTAGAAAATTCTCTGAAATAGATAACAAAGTACTTATTGTGCGTCATATATATATATATATATAGTCCTTGGATTCACACCATTTATAGATGAATCAGTAATTTTTTAAATCAGTCTGGTGAAAAAGAACGCAACTCTTTTTCTAATCGGACCCATTGTTATTTCAGGGTTTTAAACCTTTCATAGCAAAATTGGTCACTATTTTGGAGGGAGAATAGAAGGAAAGAAAGGGACCATATCTAGTGATATTCAATATACCTTCCAGTTCTGTGATATAACACTGTCAAATTTTTCCTCCAGCATACCCAATATTTATGGTCGGGTGGCGCTGTAAATAGCACCCTTCCTTTTCACCAAGACAGCTTGGGTTACGTTTCCCAATTAGATATGAAAAGGTATGGGTCACCTGCCTGACCACCTGATCTCTGTGTTCTTCGGTTTCCTCCCACATAGAGATCCTCTGCACACTTCTATCCAGGTCAACAAGTATGATAAATATAAGTTGGAATAACCTGTTTCATAATTATTGTAAAATAAATCAAGTTTATAAACTGTTTATTTAACGTCATTAATAAACAACAGTAGTAATATTAAATCTTGTTCAATTTTAACCTTTTTATACTTGCGTCATATGAAATTTAGGCTTTATCATGGGGGGTTGGCAATATATTGAGGGATACATTACTCATTAATAATGATCAAATATTGAGAAATTATAAAGAACATCATTTTTAGCTCACCTTGAACTATGGTTTTGGTAAGCACTGTGGCATATGAAAAATGACATTATATAGAAGTTTAACTGTACGCTCTCACACCTTATTAATGATACATACTGATGTATATGTATTCTCAGTGCTTGATACACAAATGAATGTCGATGAATCAGATAATTCACTTATCATTAATGAAGGTACAGGTTATGAAATGTAGTTTTTTATGCCTGATAGTCATTGCACTGTCTGTTTGTATCACATGTACTGTATTAATTGGATATGAAGAGTTATGACATTTTTAATAATGCTGCATTTACACCTTAATCTTTTGTTAGAATAATCTAGTCTGAGTTAGTATCCGATTGTTCATCGCTGTTCTGCAATGACCTGTTGTTATAAATTGTAATTGCTATTGATGATGAAGGACTGTTGTTTCAGAAATTTGATAGCAGTCATCCTTGTTTATATTTGTTCTAAAATGTACATCTAACGAAACTTCATTATTGTATTTTATTTGATATGTGTATGCCATAATTAGTATTCTTGTTCATCTGCAATGAAATGCAATATTTCATGAAGTTGTCCAAATAATCATCTGTCATTAACCCGCAACAATATGTATAGACCAATTAATTAAACAGCTACAGTTTAATTTGTATGCCACAATCTTATCAACCTTGACCAATGCATGCTTATATTAAGGATGCATGCTATCTCGCACAGTAAAGATTTGATTCATGTTAAGATTTGACTCCCTTTCAAAAATTCAGCGAGTTTATGTATGCATACATTTAAGTTTTTCTTACTTTGAAACTTTTTAGGAGAAAAGCTGCTTTATATTCTTAAATGCAATATCCACCGAAAAACCTCACCGTCAAAAACTTTTAATTGAATATTCAATATGACAGTCGTCACATATAAAGACGATGCAGAATCGTAATTTATATTGGAATTGCCAAAAGAATTCATTGTCTTCAGTGTAACTGAATGTATTCAACCCTTGCCCTAGCAAGATAGACAAACATAGGGATCAAGTAGCTGCTTTGAAAAATCAAAAATCAAGACTGTCCATAGATAATCTTTATGGTGCATGTCCGGTATTTAACTAAAACCTAAATCAGTATATCAAAACGTTGCTGTCTCCCTAAAATAAGCATTACAGATTTATGTCAAATGTATTTCAATGCTTGTTGTGTTAACTATAAGCTGACATGTGCTAATTTGTTGTATACTATTCAGGTTTCACTTATTTTAGTACATTGTGTATTTGTTAATACTTTTACTTTAGTTGTTATATAATTGGTATTTGTTCACTTACCTACATTGTATTTGTACATCAGCTCAACATTAAATGAACATTTTGAGTATGTGTGTGTTGTTACTTACTTGAAATATTAATAGCTAAGTAATGGTATCTCTGATAAACAATGAACCTTTAATGTTCATGGGCATGGGTGGAGAGACATTTAGGGAAAAGGACTGAAGACTATATAAAGTAGAAGGGTGGATAATTCTTACCAGTGGTCTCCCGCAAATCTCCTGCAAGTGCGAGTCTTGCATAAAAAATGATTGAAAAATCTTTTACTAATTTTAACCTCAAGACTTTTTTTATCATTTAATGGATCGGCTACTGAATTGACATTGCACCATTTGAAAGAAAAATATGACAACACATCATTTGAAGATATTTAAACATGTATTTCAGTGACGATGAATGATAAATAGACAAATCTAGACATGTGGGTGTCAGTGAACTTTGACCCCTTTGTACAACTGGTTCCTCTGGAATGATACCAACCCCAAAGATTGTCGTAGAGCTGGCTGGTGTTGTATCTGTGGCAACAAAACAAAAAATGTGATAACATTACAGATCTTTAAAAGACTGATACATAATATACTCCTGTTAGTTGTTCGAGAGTGTGCTTCCATTCAAATTACACCCGTTTTGTATTGAAGTAATCTCCCTTGAGGCTTTATGCTACCTTCAACATTATAACTGTGATTTGTGGTAGAATTGTGTCCTTTATAGGTATATGCTTCCTTATACATTATATCTGTTAAATTGTGTTAGAATTATCTCACTTAAGGTATATGCTGGCTGACAAATTATACCTGTGATTTGGATTGCAGTTATCTCCCTTAAGGATATATGCTTTCATTTACCTATGATGAAGGACTCATTAAATGAGTGCAGAAGTGTAGAAAGGATTCTCTTGACAAATACACAAAAATACAAATAAAGCATAGATTCTTGGACAATATATGTACAAACATTGAGTATAAATTCTACAATGTAGCATGTATCAAAACTTACATTATCAAACCACCTGGATAGGTTCATAAATGTCTCTTTTTCATAAAACGTCAGACCTCCCTAGTAAAAGAAGAAGAGTTGTTTTTAAATGAGCATTATGTGTAATATATATTACCAAATTGACAAAATAAGTGCCCTTTGCTCTTATTAAAAAATCTGGCTGATTACCACCTCTACTCTGGCTGATTATCACCTCTACTCTGATTATCACTTCTACTGTGGCTGATAATCACCTCTACTCTGGCTGTTTATAACCTCTACTCTGGCTGTTTATAACCTCTACTCTGGCTGATTATTTCCTCTTCTCTGGCTGATTATCACCTTTACTCTGATTATCACCTCTGCTCTGGCTGATTATCACTTCTACTCTTGCTGATTATCACCTCTACTTTGGCTGATTATCTCTTCTACTCTGGCTGATTATCACCCCTACTCTGATGATCACCTCTACTCTGGCTGCTTACCACCTCTACTCTGGCCGATTTTCACCTCTACTCTGGCTGATTATCTCTTCTACTCTAGCTGATTATCACCTCTACTCTTGCTGATTATCACCTCTACTCTTGCTGATTATCACCCCTACTCTCATGATCACCTCTACTCTGGCTGCTTATCACTTCTACTCTGGCTAATTATCACCTATACTCTGATTATCAACTCTACTCTGGCTGATTATACCCTCTACTCTGATTATCACTCCTACTCTGGCTGATAATCACCTCTACTCTGATTATTACCTCTCCTCTTGCTGATTATCATTTCTACTCTGACTGATTATCACCTCTACTCTTGCTGATTATCACCTCTACTTTGGCTGATTATCTCTTCTACTCTGGCTGATTATACCCTCTACTCTGATTATCACCTCCAGTCTGGCTGATTATCACTTCTGCCCTGGCTGATTATCCCCTCTACTCTGATTATCACTCCTACTCTGGCTGATAATCACCTCTACTCTGATTATCATCTCTACTCTGGCTGATTATCTCTTCTACTCTGGCTGATTATCCCCTCTACTCTGATTATCACTTCTACTCTGGCTGATTATCACCTCTACTCTGGCTGATTATCTCCTCTTCTCTGGCTGATTATCACCTATACTCTGATTATCACCTCTACTCTGGCTGATTATCACCCCTACTCTGATGATCACCTCTACTCTGGCTGATTATCACTTCTGCTCTGGCTGATTATCACCTCTACTCTGGCTGATTATACCCTCTACTCTGATTATCACTTCTACTCTGGGTGATTATCACCTCTACTCTGATTATCACCTCCACTCTGGCTGATTATCACTTCTACTCTGGCTGATTATCACCTCTACTCTGATTATCACCTCTACTCTGGCTGATTATCACCTCTACTCTGGCTGATTATCACCTCTACTCTGGCTGATTATCACCTCTACTCTAGCTGATTATCTCCTCTTCTCTGGCTGATTATCACCTATACTCTGATTATCACTTCTACTCTGGCTGATTATCACCTCTACTTTGATGATCACCTCTACTCTGGCTGATTATCACTTCTACTCTGGCTGATTATCACCTCTACTCTGGCTGATTATCACCTCTACTCTGGCTGATTATCACTTCTACTCTGGCTGATTTCCACCTCTACTCTGGCTGATTATCACCTCCACTCTGGCTGATTATCACTTCTACTCTGGCTGATAATCACCTCTACTCTGGCTGATTATCACCTCTACTCTGGCTGATTATCACCTCTACTCTGGCTGATTATCTCTTCTACTCTGGCTGATTATCACCTCTACTCTGGCCGATTATCACCTCTACTCTGGCTGATTATCATCTCTACTCTGGCTGATTATCACCTCTACTCTGGCTGAGTATCACTTCTTCTATGGTTGATTATCACCTCTACTCTGATTATCACTTCTACTCTGGCTGATTATCACTTCTACTCTGGCTTATTATCACCTCTACTCTGGCTGATTATCACCTCTACTCTGGCTGCTTATCACTCCTACTCTGGCTGATTATCACTTCTACTCTTGCTGATTATCACCTCTACTCTGGCTGATTATCACTTCTGCTCTGGCTGATTATCACCTCTACTCTGGCTGATTATAACCTCTACTCTGGCTGATTATCACCTCTACTCTGACTGATTATCACCTCTACTCTGGCTGATTATCACTTCTGCTCTGGCTGATTATCACCTCTACTCTGGCTGATTATAACCTCTACTCTGGCTGATTATCACCTCTACTCTGACTGATTATCACCTCTACTCTGGCTGATTATCACCTCTACTCTGACTGATTATCACCTCTACTCTGGCTGATTATCACTTCTATTCTGGCTGATTATCACCTCTACTCTTGCTGATTATCACCTCTACTCTGGCTGATTATCACCTCTACTCTGGCCGATTATCACCTCTACTCTGGCTGATTATCATCTCTGCTCTAGCTGATTATCACCTCTACTCTGGCTGAGTATCACCTCTACTCTGATTATCACTTCTACTCTGGCTGATTATCCCCTCTACTCTGGCTGATTATCACTTCTACGCTGGCTGATTATCACCTCTACTCTGATTATCACCTCTACTCTGGCTGATTATCATCTCTACTCTGGCTGATTATCACCTCTACTCTGGCTGATTATCAGACAGACTAGGGATTTAATCCACCCCAATGTCTCCTTTTCCAGTCAGAAAAAAATGAAGTCTGAAAGTATTTACAGATTAACAAGAAAATTGTTAGTACTTTCAAATTAATTATTACCTAAATATCAGCTAGTGTTTGGGATTTCTTGTACATTGGTATCCTTGTTATTAAAGGTTCGTTATACAGTTGGTTTAATTTAGCACAATAAATTTCAACAAGGAGAGATTACATATATCCCTGTTGTTCAGTGGTAGACTGTAGGAGAAAAGGGTCTACGTCTTATATAAAAAGATTAGAGATGAACTCTTTCTCCTGTCAACTATTTGATACTGTATATGAATTAATCATTCATTGTTATAAGGATTTGTTTGGTGATTTTCACACTTACCATGATTTCAATAAGACCATTATAAAGGAGGATGTCGGCCAAGGTCAGGCAGCTACCCATTATGTAAACCTTGTCTGCCAAGTAGTGGTTCAGCTCCTGTTTGGCATAAAATATACCTTGTTCATGAACAGTAACTAACGTTGTAAGTAGAGGTCTCCAGCATACCAATATACAAACTGTACTGTTGAGTTGCAGTAATCTAATACAAATCGCATGAAGCATCCAAAATACATTACACAATTAGACAAAAGTTGTTACCCGATACTAAAATTCCTAGCTGTCAATCAATTAAGGAAGACTGATTGCAAAAGGTTTTTTCAATGCACATATGATAGCATTCAATTCTTTTAGGAGAATTACCGACATTTTTTTTTATTATTATTCATTCATCAGATATTTACATTACAGATATCAGGATATTGTGGTATACATGAATCATGATTGTTTCCATCATTCACTGTAACATTCTCTACATCACACAATCCTTAAATAACAAATTTGATGATTGTACATGCTTGCCAATATGAATCATTGTATGAATCCACACTAAATTTCGCTCTTATCATTACCATAATATTATGGATGCATATACAAAATCAGAAAAAGTTGTAAACAGTTCAGAGTGTACAGTGGGACTGTATGTGCCACTTGCCTTAGCTGAGGGTGAATAGGGCAGTGCAATTATACCATTCACTTGAGCTGAAGGGTGAGGGTGCCATGGAACTGTACCACATCTTGCCTAAGCCGAGTACATGGTGTTATACCTAATACAATTCATGTACTACCTAATGTCTACCTTGAGAGTGTTTGTGACATCCTTATCCTGGGCTGACCGGTCAATGCGTGTAATTCTGTACTCCAACCATTGGTCAACTGCTGCCTTTTCCTCTGGTGTAGCTCCTGTTGGTGAGATTAAAACAACACAGGTTAATTTTGTTAAATAAATTTGTACTATACAATACATTCTAAAAACATTTTGACCCAGCTGTGTTTTGCCAGTCTGGCCTGACTACTTTCTTCACTCCATGTTTGGTAAATTATGAAATGTGGTACACTTCTGGTAAAACTAAGAACTGAAATTTTAAAACATTTTTAGAATAATGTAGAATAAGCTCCTGTTTTTGGACCCCTGCCTTGACCAAAATACCTAGTAACCCCAAAATCAATAGAGCTATTCCTCTTCCCAAGAGGCAACATTAATCAAAGCTGTTAATTTTAAGATCTGATGAATCATTTAAGGGAAATAATGTGGATATCAACATTTTCACAAAATTTCAATCCATTTATAGCTACTGTAATGTTGACCTTTCACCTAATACCCCTGAATTCAATAAGGATCTTCTTTTTCATCGGGTACCATGCAGTCACAAGTTTAGGTTAGATCTGATGTATCGCTTAACCAACACTTTCATAAAATTTCAGTCTATCTATATATAGTCATTGTGACTTTGAGATTTTGCTTAGTACCCAGGTAACCTAATAATCAGTAGAAGTAGTAGTATAAGCATTCCCCTTTCTCTTAGGGTTACAATTCACCCAAAATTGACTTATGGTCTTACATAGAATTACCTGGTAACTGTTATACTAAAGTAAAATGTTTTTCCAAACCAACATTTTTGCAATCAGCTACTGTGACCCTGAACTTTGACCTAGTAACCTTAAACTCAATAAGGGTCCTCCTTTCCCCCCAGGGATATCATGCATCCATCCAGGACCAATTGCAAGTTTGGTTTAGATTTGATGTATTGTTCATAAGACAATACACTGAATACAGTGAAAAGGAAACCATTTTTTTTTTTTTAAATTTCAGTCTGTATACAATGTATAGCCACTCTGAACTTGACTTATGATGTGGTTTAGGGACCTCAAAATCAATAGGCTACTTCTGCTCTTTTGGTCATCATTCACCAAACTTTAGTTTATGTATGATTAATTATTCAGAAACAATTTTTTGGACACTCGGACAAATGAATTAACCAATGCTCCAAATTAGTTTTTCTTTATTTGGGGGGGNTTACATTTACAGCCCGATTTTCAAACACTATTATATATCATTTCTGATTTTATTCAACAGATGGTTTGGTAACTGCATGAACTGTTGAATCAATGAAAACAGACAACAGCAACTAATATGTTACCATCTTGTCCTTCACTACTTACCTAACAGGTTTTTTGCATTCTGACTTGATCTTGTTAAATATTTTGCCACAGTGACTAGTCCTTTGGGATTGGAATTGTTCTGAACTTTCAGAACTGGTACCTGTAAACACAACTATGTAAAGTAATTTTGAAAGTTTAAAGCATGAAAGGCATCACTTTATTTTCCAATTCAAGCACGAAAAAAAATAATAGATTGTTTACGCATTGGAAATATTTACAGCAGCTAGATCTAGTACACTCTGCTGATTGAGTTATATAGTATAAAAACTATAGAAAAGCTGTATCATCAATACATATGAAATAGATATTTTGAGCTACTTTTACATTATTTTCGTTCTAAAACAAGACGACACAGGACTGTCTCACCTATCCCTGCTGAACACATTTTGGAGCACCCCATACCATCCCCCCCCCCCCCCCCNCCCCCCCAACACACACAATGACATACCCAACCTAACTACCGTACAGTGGTGATGTTTTTGAATCGGTTAAACATAACTTAAAGAGATAAGTATCAGTACGATGTTCCATGATAAACAATTTGTTCATGTCTGAAATACACATATGCTATGATATGGGTCACAACACACATAAACATACATTGTTTATGTGTGTTGTGACCCATATCATAGCATATGTGTATTTCAGACATTTGTAACGATACCCTGTGTACAGACGTTATCACGCACCGAAAATAGCTACCGGCGACTTTGTTAGATTTATACGGATTTGTTTCTTTATTTTTATACACAACGGAATTTCAACACTGAAAAATACACTGATGATCACCTTTTCCTTTCCGTCAAATGACATCTTTCCACAAGAAACACCTAAATATGTTGCCAGTCGTGAAAGTTCATCACATGTGTCAACCATCTTGGATTTTTATTCGGAAAGCATTTAACTATTCGATGAACATATACCCATAATCCACGAAAGGCTCCGAAAATAAAGTGTTCATTGCAAGAAGTATAAGATTAAAACATTAAATTTAATTTATGCTTAAACGTGCATTTTATATCCTTAATTTATGTATTACCACATAATTAATTTATTTTCTTTTTTTGAAGATTAGAATGGGAATATATATCTATTGGTAAAAAAATCCTAACTCTACATAATAAAACCTCCCTGCCAACCTCGCTACCAGACCAATCGATACGTATGGATCGAGGTTGACGACTCTCCACGTATGTATTGCACACCTGTGATTATTCAAGACATTTGACAGTATGAAGCTGGTGAGAACAGAATGTCAGCCTTACTCATAGTGTTATTAATAAGTTCACGGATTATTGTGAGATGCACTCAAAGGACATACAAATACGACCTCTACGAGAAGATGAAGTTGGACTTGCATACGAGATAGAAAAAGAAGGTATTTTTTTTTTAAAGTTTAATACTCGTTATCTAGTTACTGACGTAGGCTCATATGACATTCATACAGGTATATTTATTTCATATACGAGGCTGGAAAAGTATTGATCAAGCGTATCATTGAACGTAAAGTTTATGTATGGTTAAGGACATTTTTTAGGCTAATAATAACGAATGTTCCTGTGTATTATATATTATTTAAATTTCACAAAGTGGAACAGACATATATTTATTACCCGTGCATGCATCGTCAGACTAAAACTGGAAGCACTTGTTCAGTAAATAAAACCCTGTGTAAAATACGTGTACATATACTTCTGAAGCAGCAGTACGTGGTGTCATGTTACTGCTAGAACGGATGTACTGTGCATCACTTGCATTTGGCGAGATGCTTATTTTCGCGCTTATTCTCGAGTTCGTGTATATTTGTTCCTCGTGCGAACTTAACTATTCTCAAATAAGTTATGTATTTTCAAGTTCATGCATGGGACTTAATAGGCATGGCATTTAAGTGATCTAACAGCCAATTGTAGAATTTACTGACATTTAATGCAAAATAAAGTAATATTTTTGCATAAAGTCACGAAACAAATCTAGAATGAAATGTCACAATTTCAAGAAAACAGTTATGAGTATAAAACAGTTAATTTGCAGGCTTTATGCTGGTTATGTTATTTGCTCTATTTTTACATATAAAGTTAAAACTAAGTAAAGGTCACATGTCTGTCTATGTAAAATCGGGGGCCGCCGTAGCCAAGTGGTAAGGCGTCTGACTAGCTCTCCACTACTGGGTCGTGAATTCGAGACTGACCGTAGGTCGATGGTTTTTCTCCGGAAACTCTGGCTTTCCTCCACCACGTCCAAACTCACCCTGCAGATGACTGTCCCCTCATAGCATGAGACTGTTATAAAGGCACATAACGATTGTCACAGTCCCTCCCCTAAATGTACTGTAAACTCGGCGGACTTGAGCAAACTCAGTTCGCGAAGGCTACTGGTTTAGGAGTAGTAGGTGGATAGGGCAATAGATTCAAGCACTTATGGTTGGAGAACTAAGGACATTTTTAACTGTCATTGTCCTTGTAAATGTTAATGTCGTCTTTTCAGAAACAGTGAGTGGTCAGACACATGCGATATCGGTAACATAGGTATTATAGCGTGATACACCGTGAAATATAATGCCAATCGTTTCATTTAACACTTCACTTATAGTCTGACACCAGAGGAAGGTCGGGCTACTTCACTTAATATATTATAAACTTTAGTTATTTTACAACAATTATGAAATAAGTTGTTTCAACTTATATGAATTACTTTTGTTGACCCGGATGTAAGCGCTCGGGGGGGGGGGGGGGGGGGGTTTTTTTTTNTTTACTACTGCCAATGCATTTCCCTGGTCCCTTTCCATTTTTCTTAATAGTTCCTGTATACATGTCCCTCGATGTATCGCCAATACCATTTATAACGGCAAGCTTTGGGGCTACGCTCACTTTCGGAGGGGTGCAGAGAGCGAAAGTGAGCGCGGCCGCTGGAATATCGAGGATGACATGGACCTGTGGGTATCGGGTTGATTGACAAACGTTTAACACATGCATTTCTGTTCAAATCAGTGACTTTATGTTGTTGGAGAACCCGGTGTACCTGTCAACATGCCGAGTGTGTGAACGTTTCGATCATATTTGATGATCTTAAAACTATTATCAAGTTATTGTATCACAAACAAGCGTTATCTATCTAAAGGTTACGGGCGTTACAACCTGTTTAACCTCGAAGCTTCTCATGGCCACGGACCTTTCTGATAGTGAGGTGTTTACAGTTTTACTTTTTTTTTTTACTTCAATATCAGAATGAGGTAGTTGTGGTAAGTTGCCCCTAATGTACTGTATAGGGTGAGATCCGAAGGCAGGGTTACATACATTTAAATATCTATAGATCTATATATAAGCCGAAATACATAAGGAAATATATAATGGTTAGATATACATTTCTGTGTGGAGTATTTTTACATCCTTTCTCACCACATATACCTTCTATTGTCACCATGTTAAAAGAACCCGAAATAGTTGCATACTGCCATAATAAACCATATTTGTATCATACGATACAACTTGTTCATCGAACGATGATCGAAGGATTGCGGAAATCACTGAATCTTTCCATTGTCTTTTTTTTTAATATAAAAAAATAGATAAAAAGAAGCGACAGTTTTCATCAATAAATAAAGTGAAAAAAGGATTTGTCTAAGAATTTTTTTAAGATAAATTGTTAGGTCATCCCCCAAAAAGTGTCTGTCCCTGTAAACGCCGATATAAATAATACGTTAAGAATCCTTTCCCTTTTTTTGGTCCAATATCAACGTTAATGTTAACTACACAGTTCTAAATTAGAATATATTTGATCATTGATCTGTTTTCTATACAAACTTGGCGGGGTCAGCAAACATTTGCAGCAGAATGAACGTTAGTAGGGAAGACCTTTATTGAATTTATCGCAGGTGAAAGGTGTCGTGTTCCTACTCAAATTATATTTCGAACGTCTTGAATTGAAAGAAAATTATTTCAGTGTGGAATTATATTTGCATAACTCCTCACCTGCGGACGTTGTTTTATTAGTCAGTTTATGTTTTAACTTGCAGTGAATATAAATATTTCATAATGTATGAAGAGGTTTTGAATGAATGAATTATTGTTCTGTAAGAGAGGAATCATGCGGTGTACCTGTTCAAAGAGTCCGCCAAATGGTCTCCACAGAATAAATAGACCAACAGGTATATACTTGATACTATGGCTAGTGGGGAAAGTAATTTCCATTTCTTTTGTTGAGCAACTTTCTGTAATTAAAAATGATCATTATTAGCAGACGGCAAGACGGATAATAACTCCGCTCTTTATATTACATAATACCGAATACACTTTATGACCGTTCCTGTTTTTATGGCATTCATTACGGTATTATGACTACCAGCTTTGTAATTGACAGACAATACTGTTGCTTGTATTGTTGCTTCATTGGAAAATTCCCTTTACTATGCAATGAAGAATCGTGTAAACTATGTACCATTGAGGAGTTATTTATACTCCTCACATCACCGAAGACTTCTTTATTAGCTTAAACAGTAATTTCAATTTTTATTCCAAAAGTAAACATACTTATAATAAATAGACATATCAAAAGGATTAGAAACTATGCTTAAAGCTTATATGAATTCGTACTTTTGTATTGATGTCGTCCCATGTTATGTCAACTTGAAATATAAGGAAGTTTTTTGTTCGTCAGGTTTACTACACTTGACCGTATCTGGCTGATTGAATCTCACATTAGTTGGTTCGAAGTCACTACTTTTCCCTTTATTTCTCATAAATTGAAATGGATTGATTTAATGGAACTGTTTTTTTCTAAGAGTCGTTTTAAAAATATTCCATAAAATCCACAGAGTAGATATCATCTTATCTTCTTACTGCGACGTACACAAAGTATTTCAAAATACTATCATATGTATTTTTTAGTGAGACGCATACGACTGCAGAATACGCGAAAAATATAAATGTTTATTTATTCTGCACTAAAAAGAGTGAATTGGGGAGGAACAAACATTCCGTTCTAGCTATTTTACACGAAGGAAACCAACCTATTATTTCAAAGACCAACCACCAGGTATTTCTGTTTGATTTTGCTTTAATTTAAACCTACACGAGTATAGAAATCGAGATCGATAATATACCATGACAAGGAAACGTTTAATTAATGTTTCTATAGTGTAGGCGACCTCCCGGCTAATTCACCGGCAACCGTCACGCCAAACAGGGTCCTTTGTGATTTCTCAATATATCTCAAAATCACACAAACTGTCAGTTTCTCATAAATACCCGTATCTTTGTGTGTGTGGAATGCCGCCAGTAATGGCCGTGGCATTTTATCACCGCGGTTCACTGCTCCGGTCAATTTGTAAATGTGTAGCGGGTTCTTTACCTGGTATAGTATAAAATCGATACATTTCTGGAGTTTTGTTTTCCCGTCTCACCGATAACAACTCATTTTTTGTTTGTTTCCCCTATGATTTATTGAGCCAAAGAACTTTATAGGCGTTTAAATAACATTGAATCAACGTCCGCATAGTAACATTGTTCCACAATAGGAACACACATTATTTTGAATCTGTTATTGTTGTTGAAAAATATGAGCACGCGATTGCTGGTTTCATTTTTTTTGTAGATTACAGAAGTATCAAGTGGTCGTCAAGTTGCAATACCAAAAGTTTAGATACTGTTTTTACTTCCTTACCTTATATGCATTCTTACGTATTTTGCTTTTTTTTTCTTGAAACAACGACGATGATCACTTGATGCTGATGTTTGCCGAGAATCCGTGTTGTCTTTCCTTTAGATTTGGTGTTTCCCTTGTTAATATCTTTAACTTCCCATTTTGTCCGTGTGTATGGACGCCATGGTAAATTGACAAGATTTATTTATTTGTTGAATTCAGGAGAAGATTTTGAATTGGCGAATGTATACTTACTCAAGAACTTACACGAACATATAAACCTCGTGATATACACGTATGCAAGTGTTCTCTCTACTTTAACTTCTGTGTGGTGTCGTTGGAAACGATACTGCTGAGTGTCACTGCAAACTTGTGATTTCTGTGTTTTTTGTTTATTTGAGTTTGTTAACACATACACTAGAATGTTTTATACTTATAAACACCGTCGTGACCAACGATAAATCAACCTGCCAGTGTGCAGGGTGAGGTGGAGGTTTCAGAGTAGAATGTCTGGTACAAGTCTTATGCTCTTCCTCGGACCTGCTTTTCTGCTCAGTTCTTCATTCGTCCTGTCGTGGAGACTATCCCCGCCTAAGTTAACCACTGAACAGTGGGGATTTGTCAGGTATATTTTATATTGGCAAATATTGACATAAGCCGATACTATATCAATAGAGAGTGCATTAAGGTGATTTATGTACTAATAACCCGTATTTATCATGCAACCCGTGGGAGCAGGTC